TGGAATACTACATGGCAATGAGAAACAATGAAATCTGGCCATGTGTAGCAACAGGGATGGACCTTGAGGGTGTTATGCTGAGCGAAATAAGTCAGGCAGAGAAGGACAAATATCATATGTTTGCACGTATAGGAGGATTAGGAGGAACTTGACGGAGGAACAAGGGGGAGAAGAAGGGGGGAAATGGTGGGGGAAAGGGGAACAAGGGGGAGAAGAAGGGGGGAAATGGTGGGGGAAAGGGAGAGAGGCAAACCATGAGAGACTCTTGAATGCTGACAAAAACTGAGAACTGATGGATGTGGGGGGGGATGGGCATGGAGGAGGACACTTGTGGGGATGAGCACTGGGTGTTATGTGGAAACTAATTTGACAATAAACTATTTGTAAAAAAAAAAAAAAACTAACTTTCTAACCTGAGATTTGGGGCTAAAGCCCAAGCTAGTTATAATATGCTTCTGTTTAACTTTGCTTTTTGAGAATCTTTCTAATTTGGAAACTTCATGCTGTTGAGTGTGGCAGACACTTAGAAGAATACGAAGTCCCTAGCCAAAACATCATCCCCTCTTCATTTTGAAAACATGATTCAATGTGCAGTAAAAATATGTTTTCCTACTACCCCAAATGCCTTTTTCTTAGCTGATCCCTCCTTTCAAGACTTTTCTGAAGTCACTTCTTCAGGAAGAATTATTAAATTTCAAAAGTTAAATATTCCTTAACTCCAAAACCCGTGGCACTAACAGACCTTTTGGCGCAGAGATAGTCTTTTACATTCCTGAACTCTGTGTGAGTACAGTGACTTTAAAACTGATATAAATCTACCAGCTGATCTTACAGGAGCATGGTATCCAGAACAGACAGGTTGGTTTTAGGGGAAACAGTCAATATGTTAACAGCATGAAACATGAAAAGCAAACGTTGAGAAGCAAGAAATGCCAGAGAAATGGGAAAACTGTAAGACAGAAAATAAAAACCAAAAGAAAAGGTTGGATCAACAACAAAAGCAATGTAAAGAGTTAGAATAAAACCAGAACAATAGAAAACTGACAGCTACAGAAGAAATGGAAAATAAGGACAGGATTAAGCGGGAGAAAATATGAGAAACATAAAAGAGCCACAGAAAAAAAGAAAATAATATGATGGGAAAGTGAGAAGGAATAACAAAAGAAAAATAAGAAAAGCATTCTTCTAAAAGAGGGAAAAGATGAAGATTCAAGGTAAGAAACATAAAAAGGTAAATAATTAAAAGCATGAAAAAAGTGATATATGAGAACAAAGATGAGAGGAGGAAAATGTATAAAAATAGATAACAGAGGAAAAGGAAGACCCAGTAAATAGTGTTCTGTGATGCTCATGTCCTTAAAGTTTATACTTTAAGTGTATATTTCAATGTCCAGATTTATATTTGAAAACATTCCTTTGGAAGGTCAGTCACCTGCAGGCGGGGTGGAGGGCTGGTCCTCGGCGCTTGATTCATACCCTGTGATGGAGATGGCCAAGGTTGCTAGAGTAGAAGCTGCCATGGAGATAACCTGCCCTGGTAACTCAGCTCCTGTAAAACAAGCATGTATTTGCAAAACTTTCTAAAGCCAAGTGGGAAATAACTGCTACAAACTCAAACAGTTAAACAATTTCAAAAGCAATACAACAAAATGGTTATTGCCGACCCATCGGACCAGGAGTTCTTCACCAGGAAGAATGCTTAAGAATCAACAGGAAAGCCTGCTAAAATTTGGTTCCTGGACTCTGTATCAGTCACTGGTGCGTGCAGCTGAGAGTGGATGTATAAATGTGGAGTCCTGCTCTCTTACTTTCTAACTTCACACTGTGAATGCACATCTCGGTTGAAAAACACCGCCACACCAAGTCTGTGCGCTTCCTGAATGCAGACTGCGACTGTCTTACTCTCCTTTGTACCACTAGCTCCTAATACAGTATGAAACAGCCCACACTCGGGGCTCTTGATAATAGTATTCGTGAATAAGGAGGCAAACGTCTGGGTACTAAGCAAAATCATACAGCTCTAGAAAGTACATAATTCAGCACAGGCAAAATCCACCATTGAAAATCTAAAATAATCTGATTACTGTTTCATGTTATATGTTCCCATGTTAAGTTCCTAATAGGTAGCATATACCAAGCTTAATCATTTGCACTAAATTCAAATAAAACATTTACTGCCCAATGAAGTCTGTTAACTGTAGGCCTTTCATCTGCTATGGCAAACAATAGATGAACTCACAGAATACCAGGGTCTAGCATGCTTTCCTCCTCCTAGAGACTAGAAAGCTTAAAGACTATATTTCTTCGACTCCCTTATGGCTAAGGTCCCATGTGTAATGCAGTTTCCACCAAGCAGGCACACCTATCAAGACCCAGAAGACCAAAGGGGGACTCACTGGAATTTGGAAGCTCTCAAGTGCAATAGTCCTGCAGGCATATGGTTTTTCTGTAAAAACTTAACAGGAGTTCTGAAAGCTCTGCTATCTGATCCTAACTTTGAAGCAGGTAGCACTAGCCATGGCACTTCTGCTCAAATAGTCCTTTGGTGTCACTGAGCAATTTTCCTGGTTGCATTGCTTCTGCCTGTGTCAGATCCAGGTTTAATTGTCTGGTCTTCCCAAAACTTCTATAGGTAAAAATGCTATAGGCTAATCAATACCTCTTTCCATTTAGACAAGCTAGTGTGGATTCCACTGTCCACTAAGAATACTAACACTCACCAAATCATACACCCACACTCAGGGAGATGGGACCCTACTTTTGATAGGCCAATATACAATGTGACAGCACAGAACTCTGCCAAGCCAATGAAAACAGAAAGCTCCAAATGAGCTCCACCTACCCAGCAAATCCCTAGCTGGCCACCTCCCAGAGATGAGTAGGCCAGGCCCTGAGATGGCTCTTTGGTGGACTGAACCATCAGGATCAAGAGCATTCATCTTATTCAACCATATCCTATCCTTCCTCTAATAAATACCTCTGTGACCTGAAAGAGGCTTATTTTCAGATGATTCAAGACAAAGTCAAACTCATGATCTAGAAAGAGAACAAGATATCTGGATTGGGACTTATTCTCCTGGCCTAAGGATCTAAGTTGTTTCTTAGACACCAAGAAGGGAACAAAGAGGGAAAGACAGTGCCTTTCATGTCCTCATTACTCACTGAATTGAATGCTGAGGATAAAGACACAGACCATGGCCCCATGAAGTCTAGTGGAAGAGAAACATACAGATTAAAGATCCACATGGAAAAATAATTCTTACCACGGTTAGGGGAGAAATTGTTAATTCACCTTAAAAAAAAAAAAAAGCATCCAAATGTGAATGTATACAAACCACAATGACTGCTGTAAAGGAAACACACTAGATATTTTATGAACTCCTAATGGAAGAAATCTGACTTAGTCTGGAGAATGAGGAACATCTTTTCTTTACGAAATAAAAATAATGCTGATAAAAAAGGATGAGAAGGAATTAATCAAAGGAATGTAAAGAATAATATTTGGGGCAGAAGGAAGTGAATAGGAAGGCCATTAAGTGAAGACACTGGTATGTTAAAGACCGTGTAAGAAGGTCAGTATGTCTGGAACACAGAGAGCTAGTGGGAAAGTGGTATCGAATAAACAAGGCTGGACATTTAAGTCAGATGATCCAAGTCACAGAAGACCATAGTAAGTACTTCAGTCTTTATTCTAAAAGGAGAGAGAGAGCACTGAATCCTAATCACTAGACCACCAGGGACAATATCTTTATTCTAAGGAGTAGGAAAAGTACTGAGTTTTAAACAGGATAATGATCATGTTTTTACTGAAATTTAATTGGGATAATTACAGATTTACATACAGTTATAAGAAATAATAGAGATCCTGTGTACCCTTTATCCAGTTTCCCCCAATGGTAACATCTTACAAAACTGTGGTACAATATCACAGTCAGGAATATCAGCATGGATACAAGATATAGAACAGTTTCATCAATGCAAGGATCTCTCATGTTGCCCTTTTGTAACTACACCTGCCTCCCCAGTCCATAAATAAATGATCAGTTTTGAGATATAAAAAGAATCATCTTTGCTGTTTGGTCAAGAGTGGACTGGAAGGGACCAAAAGTGGGTAGAGGGAGAGAAGTTACTGTAACACTGCAGGCAGGACATGATCACAGCATGGTCTGCAGCAGTTTAAAGGGGAGGGAGTGTTAGAAAAGTGGCTGCATTTAAAAGACATGGAGTGGTCAAAGTGGACCAGACTTGATGATGAACCCATAAAGGTAATGAAGAAGATGAAGTGTCAAAGATAGCAACCCCCAAGTCTCCAGATTATGATTAGATAGATAACCATAGGGAAATACCATGTCAATAACCATGTGGGGGAAATGGAGAAAGATTTTAGCCATCTTAAAGTAGTTTTTTAGAATTCTAGATAAAAGTTTCAAACATAAACTGATTACACCAGAGACAAGACAGGATTCAGCTTCTCCTGCACTTCAGAGAGATTTCTCAGGCTCCACTCAAGAGCAAATGATGGGAATACATGACTAATAGCCCGGGACAGCAGAGAAAAAAAAATGAAAAATGCTTCCAGTTAAAATTTTAAAAAGCAAAATATTCTTTCTTATAGATTAAAAACTAGTCAAGGATCCTAAATTACTAAACCTACCTCTTCACAAATTATTTAATGAAGCAGTGACTCCTCTTTGAGAGAGTCTGAAAAAGAAGTCCCTTGTTTTAAGTGGCTCCAAAGTAACAATTTTATAGATCTGCAAATATGGACTCTCAGTTTGGCTGCAGTTTAACTGACATTTCTAAACCCCAACTCTGTCTGCATTCACTAAACAGGTGACTAGGCTACATGCTGAGGTGAGACTGAGACTCAAGCCCCAAGCTCAGTCTAGTATTTAGACTATCAGTTATGATTCAGTGTGTTAAGAGCTAATGTCAGGACGAGTGTAGCATATTTGGGGAGCACAAAAGATGGCAACCTGATTCATGCTTGCGGGTCAGGGAAGTATCTCCGAAGATGCTACTTGACAAGAACAGTAAAGGATGCCACCCTTTAAATCCATTTAAATATGTTAGCCACTGGGTGGTTCAGTTGGTTAAGCATCTGACTTAATTTCGGCTCAGGTCATAATCCTACAGTTCGTGGGTTCAAGCCCCGCATTGGGCTCTGCACTTACAGTGAGAAGCCTGCTTGAGATTCTCTCTCACCCCGTCCCTCTGTGCCCTTGCTCGCGCTCTCTTTCTCAAAAATAAATAAACGTTAAAAAATACGTTAGCCAGATTTAAAAAACAAAAACAAAACAGAACCAGTCTATACTAGAAGGGGAAAGAGGCTGATATCTTAGAGGGCAGCAGGAGAAAATTTTTCCAGAAAGACAAAAAAGCAACTGTAAAGGCACAAAGGCAAGAAAAAGTACCGTGTGCTGCTGAAACAACTCTAAGAAGTCCGATAAGGCCAGGACACAGGGTACAATGAGAACAGTGGAGAGATACCTGGATGCAGAGGGAGAACGGAGGGTCTCCTATTTACTCTGCACAGAAGCAGCACCATCAATACAGCTCAGTGGCTGGGAGCACAGGTGAGGAAACAAGACCGCCCACATTCAAATCCCAGATCTGTTCCTTACTGGCTACATGGCCATGGGCAAGTTACTTAAAATCTAGGTGCCTCATGGATAAAATGGAGCTTATCTAAATTCCGATTTCATGTGAGAATTAAGTGTAACAGTACACAGGAAATAATCAGAACAATACCTGGTACGTAGGACTCACTCAGTAAATGTTAGCTATCGCCACCACCTATTTCAAAGCCACTGGCTTTGATAGAATAAACTATAAGTATAAGCCACTAACATTCGTATAGTATTCATCTGTGCCTCTCAGCCCCTTTCTACTTCATGTTTATAGCCATTTCCCTAAAAGTCATATGCTCTTAGCACACATTTTCAGATCTCCCCACAGTTATGCAAAACATCTTACCTACAGTAAGCACTGAAAGACTTGAGGAAAAGTTAAGACCAATAAATTAAACCCTTGCAACTTAAAGACCCTGTCTCCAACTTGCTGATGTCACTAAAACAATGCAGTAAATATTCAATGAATCATATCTAAACCAATGAAAACTATGCAGCATTATCCTAGTTAATACACAAACTAATTCAGCAAATGTTTAGAGTGCCTGAAACTTCACAAAGGAATAAAGGGAGTAGCAAGCAGGGAAAAATCCAAAAAGCGTATTTGAAAATTATGGATGAAAGACCTGGCAATTTCTCTTACTTATCAAACAGACACTTCAATGACTTCTGTCTTAGTGATATCCTCCTGAGCCTCAAAAACCCCAAGGGTTCTGGCAGAAATGATAAACCAAACGCAAGAACGCCAGGACTGAGAATCTTAGCAAAGTCATGGTATTGGAAAAAAGCCCCAGCTAAAAATAGGCACACAGACAAGGGAACATAATCTTGGGACCGAAGAACTGTAACCTAAAAAAGGAAAGAACATCCAAGGTTTCAAGTGTCCATCTACCCAGGGACAGGGCCAGCATCCAAGGGA